AAAAAGGTTAACAGAAAAAGGCAATTGGAAAAAAAGTTTTGCTAAGTTTAGTGTATTTGTTGCTATGATCCTTGAAACTGCGGAAGTTAGAAGACACTAAAACCCCATGGCCACAGTGAAACTAACATGCCAAGATCGGTTAATATCTTGTTGCCGTATATTGTACCCAGGATCGTTTGTTCAGAGCCAATGACCGCGACTAACGGCAATGCTTCCTTAGCAGCCCCTAAGTAAATGCAAGCACGGGGCCCTACACTAAGAATTTAAAAGCACAGGTTCAATAATTCATTGAAACAACTTATAAAACTCACAGGTAGTACTAGAGATTTTATTAAAATATATACAAAACAAGACCATCATCCCAAATCAGATATTTTTGCCAGCCATCTGGTGTTCCAAGCATTGTTATTTTGGGTTTTTTTTTGGGGGGGGCAGCCTGGGGTGTCTTCATTATATAAAGCAAACATAAGAAGGGAGTCAATATTATAAGATGATCACTAGTTATGATGCCATCACAAGGTAGCCCTGAGGCCCACTGATCTCAAAAGGCAATGTAGGGAATCCCAACACGGGGCTTTCTGGCATCGTCAAGTCCTACCTCAGAGCTTACCCTCTGGTAAAACTTGTGGGATCTAGAGTCCTCATCAAAGTTCCAAGTTCTAAGAATGACCTTTTAAGAAGCAAGGACCAAGACCAAGCTACCCTAAAAAGCCAAACTTGCTGCTATGAGTCCATGGTGCCATGTGCCCCCATAAAGCTTTTGTTTTTTAAACAAACTGATGTTATGTGGTAATCGTATGTTACACAAATGCATCAGCAAATGCATCCCAAAAGTATGTGCTGCCTGGTGTTTCTGTGTCATAATTTGGTGATTCTTGCAATTAATTCAAAAATTCAGTGTAACTTTCATAAGCAATGGAAGATTTAAAAAAATCCATTGTACCAGCTTTGCTGCAATATTTGGTTTTACTGCAGTGGTATGGAAACAAACCTGCAATATTTGCAAGGTCTGTCTTGATTCCATATCAAAACTAAATCCACTGCGGTCAAGTTGATTACAGGACAATGTAGAACTACCCTATGGGGCTTCCCAGGCTGTGATCTTTACAGAAGCAGACCTCTACATCAGCAAAATGTAGCAGATGACGTTTAGGTTAGCAGCCAGGCATTTAAACAACTATGCCATCAGGGCTTCTTTTCCATTTATTAGTGCCTTTAAGTCTCATAACAACTCTATAAAGAACAAAACAATAAGAGTAACCTCCATGAACCACAGAACAGCGCGAACTGTTCCTTCACTCAAGAAACACTCTTACAATAAATAAAACCCAACATCTTAAAAATTTTTGTATATTTACTCAGCATCATAAAGTGGCCTGTACTGTGCTAGGAACATTGGTAGGAAAAAAAGTCCCCATTTCATCTACTGAAAACTATCTAATGCTGTATGAGACGGCTTAAAAAATTCATGGAAAGACATCTTTCAAGCTCCATTTTTTGAAAGGCCCCTTGCATAGCCTCAAAAGCTGATCTAGGTGCCCCATAATCACTTGGGGGCACTTTTAACACTTCAAATTCATAGGCTCCATTTTTGTAAATGCTGATTCCAAACATCTGGGGCTGGCCCTAGAAATTGGAGTTTTTAAAAACTCCTGAGATGTCTTGACACACGGTGAGGTTTGAGAGCCACTGACTAAAACAGTCTTCACTTCAGTGATGCAGTTAGCTGTCTTGAAGTTGTGACTCAAAGTGACCTGAAGCACAAAAGGAGGAAACATTGCCAAGGCCTGCGCCGTCCTCACAATCACTGTTATGTTTCAGTCCATCACGGCACAGTCACTGCGCCGTCATCCACTGCTTGAGTCTTCCCTCTACTTTACCAAGCTCGCTGCCCTTTTCCAGGGACTGGTCTCTTCTGATAAAATACCCAAAGCGGCCGAGACGAAGTTTCATCATCTTTGCTTCAAAGGAGCATTCTGGCTGTACTTCAGTGGTACTTCAATCTCTTTCTCAAATTGCTAGCCAATGATCCTTCCAAATATACAAGGGATATTTACTTTTAAATATAAATATGCATACTCGATATAAAGATCTACCATTAATCTGTCTGTGTGTCTGACTGTGGTGGCTTGCATACTCTGTGAGGTCCCCCATAGTGGACAGGTTTTAGGGGAGCTTCCAGATTAAGAAGGAAGGCAATCCCCTTATGAGGAAGTTATCAAACAATATAATTACTATCACACACAAGTAAAATTTTGTTGCAAATAGTTAAAAAATCATTGAAGCAATACATTGACATGGAGCTGCCAGAAGTTCCAGTCAGATTTAGAGCTAGATATGGAACAAGATTCATCTGATTGTCAGATGAATCTTGGCTGAAAGCAGAGAATACCAGAAAGAGGTTTACTTCTGTTTTATTGGCTATGCAAAACCATTTGACTCTGTGGATCCAAGCAAGCTATGGATAACATTATGAAGAACAGGAATTCCAGAACAATTAATTTTGCTCACCCAGAACCTGTACACAGGCCACGAAAGAGGCAGTTGTTCCAAAAGAACAAAGTGATTTTGAGTGGGTCTCACATCAGGAAAGGGTCCTTATAGTGTGTGCTGAACAAATAATCACAGAAGCTAGCCTATGACAAAAATACAGCATCAGGACTGCCTCTTGCTCACATGAACAAATGGTAATTTGCAGAATACACAACTTTGCTTGCTGAAAGCCAATAGGACTTGAAACACTTACTGATGAAGATCAAAGACTGCAGCCTTCAGTATGGATTACAATTCAATGTAAAGAAAACAAAAATACTAACATCTGGACCAAGAGGCAACATCATGAAAAAAAAAAAATAGGGATAATTTCAAGGATTTCATTTTACTTGGATCCACATTCAACACCTACGTATGAAGCAGTCAAGAAATCCAGTGATGTATTGCACTGGCCAAAACGGCTGCAACAGATCTCTTTGAAGTATTACAGAGTAAAGATGTCACTTTGAGAACGAAGGTGCACCGGACCCCGGCCAATAGCCTCATGGACACGTGAAAGCTAACCAATGGATAAAGGAAGACTGGAAAAGAATTGATGCATTTGAATTACAATGTTCAAGAAGAATATCTCAAGACTGCCAAAAGAACAAACAAATTGGTCTTGGAAGAAAGTACAGCCGGAATGCTCCTTAGAAACAAGGATGGTGAGATTTTACCTCATAATTTGGACAATCAGAGGAGGGACCAGTCCCTGGAAGAAGACATCATGCTTGGTAGTGGGTCAGAGAAAAGAAGAACGACCTTCAAGGCGCTAGATGGATACAATGGCTGCAACAAGGGGCTCCAGCACCAATTCTGAGGATAGCGCAGGACCAGGCCATGTTTGTTCTGTTGTACAGGGGATGGATCACTGAGTCAGTACTGACTCAACAGTACCTAACAACAGATACAAATAGGAGCACACGAGTGAAAACCTAGCTACTGTTCTTCCCTCTCTCCTTAGTCTGCTCTGACAACGTTGCTGTTCTTGCGGGTAACCAGGGAGTCAATTCAATCTCACAGGCAACCCCATGTGTGCAGAATACAACTGCACCACAGGGTTTTCAAAGCTGTGACCTTGAAAAAGCAGATGATGAGGTCTTTCTTCTGAAGTACTTATGGTTATGTTTGAACCACCAACTGTTTGCTTAATCGTCATGCTCTTAACTAAATGTACTACCCAGGGATTTCTAACGTAGCCACTAGGCACTGTACGGCCAGATAAATACTTGCATTAGGTAAATCAGGTCCTCTCAATCCGCTGCTTTAAATGGATTTTCCCTCATAGATCATAAGGGCCTGCCTCAGTGATTAGGCCCCATTTTCTCTTTGGTTTTATTTCTTACCTCTTCGCTCCTCTTGCTTACTCTGCTCTAACCATATGGCTTCTTTGCTAGTCTTGGGACACTTGGGACCCACTCCGTTCTTAGAGCCTCCACACTAGTTGGTCCTTCTGCCTGAACCAAAACCCTCTTAGGATAACTCCATGGTGGATTTCCTCCCCTTGCTTAGTCTTTGCCCCAATTTCACCTTCTGCTTGAAGTAAGGTGCTCATTGCCTTCATCCTGGTCCTTCTGTCTTGCTTTGTTTTCCCCATAGTAATTAATCAGCTATATTGTTTTATTGTTTATTATATTTCTTATCTGCCTCGACCTCTCCTACACCTACAGCAGAATGTAAGCTCGAGAGCAAGAATTTTTGTCTATTTTGTTCAATATCTCCCAAGCACCACCAACAATTCCTGACATAATCAACATGTGCTAGCTGAATATATGAATAATATGAAACTCTACCCGCTGAAGTAAACATTTATTATTGTAAAAATAAATGTTACAACAAATGGTTATGAAAGCTATTCATTCTGTGTACAAACAACCATTTATTCATTTAGCTGCATTTCTACAACAGAAAAGCGGCTTAATAAATACTGTGTGAATTTGTTGTGTAATAAACAAACACAGTCGGGTCAGCACCAGAGGCAGCAGTGTCATTTTCCTTAGTGAAAAGACAGCTATTGATTACAAAAATCATAAGCAGTGCAACAGTGACAGCTCTGCCAACATCCTGAAGTGACCTTGCCACAGGAAATTTGAATGCATAGGGAAGTGCTGAGAAACAAGAATACTAATTTGCTGAGATGAGGCTTAATGTTTAAGATTAATTCCCTTATCACCGTACACCCCAGACATGTCTTCCACTGCTCTGCCTAAGCTAAGGTGGTGGCGAGAAAAATGCATGAATTTGCCTTTTGATGTTCTTACCCAATTAAAACAATAACCTTTATAAAATCTCTAGCCAATAGAAGAATGGACTATCTTCTATAAGTTTTTTTCAAGAAAATATCTTAATTTTTATCATGTAACATGAGATTTTCATTAAGTTGATTCCTAATCCTATTATCTTTTTTTAAAGAGAAGTCATTTTTGAACAACATCTATTCTTAAGTATTTTATACTTTAAGAAAATTTTGTTACTAATAAAATCTAGTGTTATATTTTCACCTAGTAACCACTTATTCATTTAGCTGCATTCCTAGAACAGAAAAGCAGCTCAATAAATGTTGACTTCATAAATGTTGTATGAATTAATTGTGGAATAAATGAACACAGCCAGGTCAGCACCAGTCAATTGTACTTATTGCTAAATTATAATACTGGAAATGTAAAATATTTAATAAGAAACATATTCCTACTTAGTAGAAAAAAATCATTAACAACCTGACATTTCAAATTAAATATGTTTCAGGATAGCTAGTAATTTGTTCTTCTCATTTCTCTGAGAAACCAAGTTATAATCAATAAACTTAAAATCGAACCTTTGGAATCCCCATGTTAATGAATGCCATTCATTTACTCAACAGATATTATTTGATAATTTTCTATGAGCTAGTCATTGTTAATCCTGGGGTACAAGAAACAAAGACCGAATCTCTACCATCAAAGGGATTACATTCTAAGATAAATGTACAGAAATACAACTTTTTACTGTGAATTGGGTGAAGCTTTACAGAGCAGATCATTCATCAGTTTCACAGTCAACAGTTAACACACATTTCATTTCACCTCATTCACAGCGATCTCCTAAATGCAACACCATTCATCTGGCCCTAAGTTTCCCACCTCCACACCCCTTTCTCCTAACCCTTCTGGTGCAAATATTGCCCCCTTGATCTCATATGGTTGATTATTCTAAGGTTTAAGTACTTCACTAGTGTTACTGTGCCCCTTATAGACCTACTGTCGGGCTGCCTTTACTCACTAGTAGTTACAAGTCAACCTCTCTATCTAGAAAGCATGAGCCACATCATCTTTCCATAAATCCAGCTAAATTAAATATTAGGATATAAGGTAAAGTCTGTTTTTAAAAAAAAGACGGAGAATAAGAAAGTAGGGATAGAATTCAATGACAAACCTGTACAAAGAATGTATGTGAGAAGACAGCACAAAGGTCCCTTCTGACCTTATCTGGCTAGACAAGGGAGGAGAATTCAGATCCACACCAGCCTAAGGCCAATTGTCACAAGGTGGAGGTCAGATATACTTCCACCCTCCATCTTTCTTTACCCTATTGTGACACCAGCCAGCCTTTCCTCCCACAGCACTCGACCTCCGTGCGGGGTTTGATAATCCACTGCAATGACCACAGAGATCACAGACAATAGTCACAATTATCGGGTTAAATTATCAGGGAAGTTAACAGGTTACCACAAGTCAGAGTCATATATCATTAAAGACACAGACTTTGGTCCAAGTTTCCCTCTGGTCCTCAGACTCTCAGACATTTGGTCCCTTGACCTCTGCCTCTTTGGGCCAAGAGGTCCACCCACTGCTGTCTCACAGTCTCAATAGGGTTCTTTTGTTTTGTCTTACTGTCTCGTGCTTTGGCCTATGGTCTCTGCATGGCTCTTCTGCTTTGTTCATGGTTTCTGTGTCACCACCTCAGATGCCTCTGGTCTTGGTGTCTGCCCAACTGTAGGCAGAGATCCCTAACATGCTCCACTGGTGAGACTTCTATGGTCCTGGGATTCTCTCTTCCTGCTTCTGAGATGCCTCATCCTTATACCCACTAATCCCCTCTGTAAGTGTTTTCCATACATCATTTGGTGGGAGTTATAAAGACCTGGATAGAAGCAACATTCCAAGTAATTTTACCTCACCACAGTATGAAACAAACAGCAGCTTTGCCTCAAAACAATATCATGGTTAGGGATGAAGATTATGCTAATGGTGGAATGTGCTTTCAACATTTTAAAAGTGTTCCTTGTAATCTCATCATGTATGTTACAACATTAAAGAGTAACAGCTGTGTGCTACTGGCTTTCCCCAGGGATCACTCTTCTTGTATATAACCCTCCCTCCTCAGCTTGCATACTCCTTTCCTTCCCCTTCCCGATGTGTTCTGAGATAGTAATGAATCTGAGACTGAGAGTTAAGACATCAGTGACATTCAACCTGTGTGAGAGCATTCAGAATAATGGGTTCTTGCAATAGTTATTTGCTTAAATATAAAATAAGGTACATAATAACAACCAAGCACTTATATGAAACATTTAAAAAATAGCATGTCTTGAGATAAACCTCTCCATATAGATATAATCTGAGAAACTTTTTTTTTACAATCGT